ATAGCGAAGTCGCAAAGGGATCGGGATCCGAGTTCGCTGCTACCATCGCTGAGGATCCCTCCGGTTCGAAGGAAAACGTGATTTGATCGCCTTTTGTTGTATTGATATTTACCTTAGGGATATTTTTGTGTTTTGTTTTCTGAGGCCCTGCTGGGTCCTCCCTTGTTGTAAGACTTCTAATAATAAAATACGGTTAAGTGTTTGAGAGTTATCCCAAGTTCACCAACTGTTTGTGCAGATACATATTGTCCTTGCCTCCGGGTTATATTCCGGAGGAAGCAATTTCCTGTTAGGTATTTGTTCCTGAAAGAAAGGTTCGAAACCGGCTAGTCGGTGACTTAACGAGTTTAGTCAGCCAAAATGTTCACTCGTTTACTCAGATAGCGGTCCGGATTTCTTTCGCATGTCAATCCTGATGGAATGCGACTTTGGGTCCCTCAACCAAGTGTCTGATCAGGACATGACTGATTCGTGGGTGCGAGTATCCGTGTCCTCGTCTGCAGACGATGATGTGGATATCGCCTTGATCGCGTTGGATCGTCACAAAGTTTGGACTTTGGTGTTGTTACAGCTGCGCCTGATTAGGGCTGCCTACGTACCTCGAAGGAGGATCAAGCCGTTCGTCGTTCGATTTACCCGAGAAAAAGTGGCTACTTTAAGGCGCATTTACTCGGGCGAGTAGAAGTGACAACTAGGGTGCATCTACTCGTTTGTTTTTGGTTGTTGTTACAGATGGACCGATTAAGGCTACCTACGTACCTCCAAAGAGGATCAAGCCGTTCGTAGTTCGGTTTACCCGAGCAAAAGTGGCTGTTTTAAGGCGCATTTACTCGGGCGAGTAGAAGTGACAACTAGGGTGCATCTACTCGGTTTTTTTTTTTTTTTTTGTAAGTGATTGTTATCATCCAGCATTACTCGGGCGAGTAGAAGTGACAACTAGGGTGCATCTACTCGGCCGGAAGGGATGATAGAGAACAATCTTACGAATAGTAACGGCGAAGGTGCATGGAGTTCCATGCCCTTGGGACGTCTTCGCCGTGCGAGGTTTGAAGTCGGTAAACGCCTGGTTTGATGACCTTGATGATTTTGTATGGTCCTTCCCATCGTGCGCCTAGCTTGCCAGCATTGAGCTCCTTGGTGTTCTCGAATACCTTGCGGAGTACAAGGTCTCCGAGCGCGAGCGGTCGTGCCATGACTCTTTTGTTGTAATAGCTTTCAATCTGGTGTTGGTTGTTCTGGATTCGGAGCAAGGCTTGATCGCGGCGTTCCTCCAGTTCGTCAAGCGCGTTGAGGAGCATGTCTTCATTGAGCTCGATGTTTTGTGGCGTTTTGGAACGCCGGAGGCTAGAGACGTTGACTTCAGCTGGAGCCATGGCTTCGTCTCCGTATGCAAGAGAAAAGGGGGTTGATTTAGTCGCTCCCCTTGGTGTCGTACGATGGCTCCATAGGACGCCGTCTAGTTCATCAGCCCAGTGGCCTTTCTTGAGGTCTAGACGTTTCTTGATGCCATCGACGATGAGCTTGTTGGAGGATTCGGCCTGACCGTTCCCTTGTGGGTATCTGGGTGTGGAGGGGCTCAGGCGAATGCTCCATTTGCTGCAAAAATCTTTGAAATTCCCAGACATGAACTGCGAACCGTTGTCGGTTACGATTTCATATGGGAGACCATAACGGCAGATGACGTTCTTCCAGAAAAAACCGCGGACTTCTTTGTCAGTCACCTGAGAGAAGGCTTCAGCCTCGATCCACTTGGTGAAATAGTCGGTAAGGACTAAGACAAAGCGGCGCTGACGGGAGCAAATCATGGGACCAATGATATCAATAGCCCAGCGCCGTCGTGGGTTTCGGCCATTGCACGTCGAATCTCATCACCGTGAATGTATTTGACGAGGACCCCGCATGCGTTGTACCTGAAAAGTTCGTCATCCATGACGGCATAATGCGCGCTGCGCCTTTTTAGTCGTCTAGCCTCCCACTTCTCGGTTGGCAGGGTGCCGTGCGAGAGGTAGTTGATAAACTCCAAACGCCAGTCAACTGTCTGCTGATCGGTCTCAGTCATTTCTGTGTCATTGATGGGGGCGACAAGGATAGCCGTCTCATTCGAAACGTTGATGCTGGGTTCGTCGATGCGATGTATCGGAATGGTTTGCTTGATTTGGTCGTGTAATTTGCTTCCAAGAGCGGCGAGTGCATCTGCGCAAGCGTTTTCACCACGAGGTACCTTGGTGAGCTCGAAAAATTCAAACTCTTTTGCCAACTCGTGAACGATACGGAGGTAAGCATCCATTCGGTCGTTGCGGGTGTCGTAATCTCCATTATACTGACCGGCGACGAGCTGAGAGTCACAATATGCACTTACTCGTTTTGCTTTGACTGCCTTAGCCAAGCGTAGGCCGGCTATCAATGTTTCGTACTCAGCTTCGTTGTTTGACGCGGGGAAGCCGAAGCTGAACGATTGACGTATCAGTTCGCCAGTTGGGGATTGGAGTTGAACACCTGCGCCTGAACCTTTGTTCGTTGAGGAACCATCCACATGTAATATCCAATTCTGACTCGGGAGTTGGGTGTCCTTCTCTAGTTCGGGTGCCAACTCGACAATGAAGTCAGCCAAGACCTGAGGTTTGAGGGCTGTGCAGTTTTTATACGTGATATCAAGCTCCCCGAGTTCTACGGCCCACTTGGTTAGTCGACCGACGCGATTCGTATTCTGCAGGACAGTTCGGAGGGGCTGATCGGTCAGCACCTCAACCGAGTGTGATTGGAAGTAGGGTCGAAGCTTTCTGGCTGCTTCTACCACGGCGAGAGCCATCTTCTCGAGAGCTGGATACCGAGTTTCTGGGCCAGTCATACGCCTGCTTGTGTAGAAGATTGGCTTCTGTTCACCTCTGTCCTCCTTGATTAGGACGCTACTAACCGCTGCGCTAGAGACGGCAATGTAGAGTGAGAGGACGTCTCCTTCGTCCGGCTTTGCGAGGACTGGAGGAGTGGTGAGATACTTCTTGAGCTGGGAGAAGGCTTCCTCGCACTTTTCGTCCCAAACGAATTTCTTGTTTCCACGGAGAATGTCGTAGAAAGGGAGACATTTATCGGTTGACCTAGAGATGAATCGGTTAACAGCGGCGATGCGACCAGTTAGCCGCTGGACTTCGCGGCTGTTCTTAGGACTTGGGAGATCGAGCGCAGCTGATATTTGCTTCGGGTTGGCTTCAATGCCGCGTTGGGTAACAATGTAGCCTAGAAATTAACCGGAGGAGACTCCAAACGTACACTTCGCTGGGTTCAGCTTCATCCCATACTTGTTTAGCGTTTCGAAGCAATCGCGCAGATGGTTAAGATGATCTTTGTCGTGAAGCGACTTAACGAGCATATCGTCGATATAAACTTCCATGGTGCTACCGAGTTTGTCGGCAAACATGCGGTTGACGAGTCGCTGGTAGGTAGCACCGGAGTTCTTCAACCCGAACGACATGACTTTATAACATTATGTTCCCCGGTCTGTGATGAATGATGTCTTCTCGTGATCATCGGGGTGCATCATAATCTGATTGTAGCCCGAGAACGCATCCATGAAGGTGAGCATCTCGTTTCCCACGGTTGATTCTACGAGACGGTCGATGCTGGGTAACGGGTAACTATCCTTCGGACAAGCTTTGTTAAGATCGGTGAAGTCGACGCAGACGCGCCATTTCCCGTTCTTTTTCTTGACTACCACAGGATTTGCTAGCCATTCCGGGTAACGGACTTCTGTGATAGAGCCGGCTCCGAGTAGTCGTTCAACTGCCTCGTTCACTGCTTTCGCTCTTTCCGGGCCCAGATTACGTCTTTTCTGGCGGATAGGTTTGAAAGTGGGGTCGACGTTGAGCTCGTGGGTAGTTATTGCTGGATCAATTCCTTTCATGTTCGTCATAGACCAAGCGAAGGTGAACACATTTTCCTTCAGGAATGTGATCAATGCTCGCTGCATATCGTCGGCTAGATGTGCACCGACGCGCACCGTCTTACTTGGATCGG